ACGTCTCGTCGAAACAATTTTAAGTTATTTATTGCGAACTTCGAGTTTCGAATTAATATAGAAATTTAATATAGTATAAGTACTTTATATAGGAGAGTTAATACATTATGCTTGATAATACAATGGCTGCGTCGCGTGACTATCATTTATTGTATCAACTAAACGACCAAAGATATGAATTACTTTTATCGACGTAATATAACGCAAGTCAATGTAATGTATAAATGTGTTTGAATATTACTCTTTCGAACAATCTAAGTTTTAATGATGACTCTTTGAATAAATTGTACGTACAATATTAAAAGATTCTGATTCAATCGTTTTAACAATACACCCACTGTTAAGACTTTAACGAAAAACAAAAAATTGACATGAAAAACTTGTTCGTGTATACGGAACGTTTTCCCAAGGCAAACTTGATGTTACAGGAGAATGTCAGTTGACGAATCACTATGATTCTCGGTAGTTAGTCTGCAGTCTGCTGTTAAATTAGAGATTCGCTCGCGTTTCATAAGAGCCTTCATTTAACCGTTTACTTACGATTACGTAATCCTAATTGCTATTAGGTCATGCATCATCACCCGTAACGTTAGGATATGAGCGCATAGTCGTTATTTAAAATGAATGTACTCGGAAATGTAAAACAGTGCATTTTCTTGATGACGTTATATGCGTTTTAATAGACGACAAGAAGAAATTTTGCGAAATTGATTCATAAAAAACACAAGATCGGCCAACTGATCAAATAATGCAAATACTCTTCATATCGACCGTACTGTTTTTACCGACGCGACCTAATCAAACTGGTCTGATTTGTGATTGTTAGTAATTAATTAATTTAACATGCGATAATATTCTTTTTTGTTTTTTAGATAAAAATACAGGAAATGTAGGAAAACAAATACGTGAATATAAAACTGGACGTTGAGAAAAATTTGAAATAAAGGGATGCTTCCAAAGATTGGGCCTTTGTATTTTTTTACAAGCATTTTTAAAAAATAGAAATCCTTTTTTTATGGCTCGAGAGAGAAAGAAAATACCTCAGAGAGAAAGTTTTTTAGTTACCTGTTTTAAAGGGTTAAAGAGATAGGTCGTAGGAAAAGATTGAGAGAAGGGTTGGAGAAAGTAAAAAGAGCATCGATGAAAAGGGTAAAAAATAGAAAGTTTGAAAAACTGAGGAAAAAAGGAGAAGGGATAGAAATGTTTTATAATCCTTTCGAAAAAAACTTCCGACTTGTTTAGTTTTCTTAAGCTCGTGCTCGAACAAACTTCGTGTTTTATCGTCGCGTAATCATGCTTCATATAAACTTATAATCAACAAACAAGATGAGTGTCAATGGATATGATGTAAGGTGAGTTAATTTTTTAAAATAACATTCGACTGAATTTTATCAAAACATGCAAATGTTTCTAATCGTTTAGGAAACTCCCAAATGTCTAGTCCCAGTTGATCATTTGCTTATTTTTTATTTATTTCCACGTATTTATACTCGTATAATTTCTTTTTCCAATGAAAGGACGAATATAAAATTTCAAATAAAATATTAACTTATTCGAAATTACATTATTTTGTAATTATTTTCTATATGTGAAAACTACAATTTTACTGAACTATTCATTAATTTTGTTAAAATTGTGAAAATTAGAATTTTTCACATAATGATAAACGTGTTACATCTCGTTGATAATTCGGGATAATTTAACAGATAAATCGTAAAAAATGTGCGATATATTGAAGTGCTTGAATGTAATTATTTTAAAAGCTTTAGCTATAATGGTTCTTTGCAAGGCAAGGAGGGTTTAACGGAGGAAAGAAAGAAAGGGACATTGTTTAAGAGGAAAAAGATGGAGAGAAAAGAAGAAAATAATATTTAGAACGGGGATTAAAAAAGAAATGCCGACAGAGGGAAAGGGAGAAAGTAAGAAAGTAAGTAAGTAAGAGAGAGAAAAATAAAGAGAGAAAGAGAGATAAATAGAAAAAGATATGTTTCACTATCTCGCTCACTCTATATCTTTTTTTCTTTCTTGTTTTAAGACAAGAGTATCTCTGATCTTTGTCTCTCTTGTCGGCCAATGAGTCGTCGTCCTCTTTCGGTGGCCCAACCCTCGGAGCAACATGGCCGCATCGTGCGAAACGGAGCTTAAATAAAAGTTAGGTCAAGTTAGGCAGGTCCTCCTGGATCGTAGCTTTAGCTCGCTCCAGAGAGAAAGAGAAAGAGAAAGATAGAGATAGAAAGAGAAAGAAAGAGAGGCGTGTTAGATGCCTCTATGGAAGAGACGGAGAAGGGTGGTGCCATGTAGTCAGCCATCATGGGAGATGCTGTGGTTAAGAAAATGCTCCATCCGCGTCTCTTTAGTGTCCGAGAAGACTTTCTTACTTTAACCGATATGTACCGATCTTGTTTTTACACTAATTTGTTTGATCAGAATGATTCCCAGATTAGATTATTTCGATTTGCGCGAATTGAATATATTCCTGACGCGAGTGCGACAAGTGTGTCCATATAATCAACTCGTATTTGCAATTCGGCACTAATCGCGAGATGAACGATAAAAAAAAGGGTCCCAAAATTAAATAGAACGATATTATTTTACGGAAGGTACGCTTCTTTTCGTATTTTTTTTTGTTTGCTTGTTTTTTCCTTTTTTTTTTTTGATCCAAAAGAAACGAGAAAAAAAATACGACGATTATTATTTGAACGCTAATATTGTATATAAATGAAAAAAAAAAAGAAAAATTCTTTTTTTTTTTTTATTTTATGCATACAAAAGTATCTACCCGAGCATCTCGTCGATGTATACTCGCAAGGACGTAACCGTGTGGCTTGATTGCAATTCTCTTATATACAGGCAATAATTTAAGCTTAACGATTTAAACTTATAACAACTTAACGAATTTCGCGGTATTAAGAATGAAGTGAGACGATAGTAAATTCTCCCGCTTGGAAGGTGGTAAGCTAATTAACGATCGCTCCTCGACGTTCTTTTAAAGCTAAAACGTCAGAGTGTAAACGAGCAGAAGAGAAACACGGAATTCCAATAAAAGTTCGATTCCCCACGTTCACTATAGTATCGCGTCGCGTAGATTAGATATTACTTCTTTTCTTTTTATTCAATGCGAAACTAGTCAAGGACAGTTCGTATTGCTTACAATGCCTACTTCTCTCTCTCTTTTTCTTTATTTCTTTCTTTTTTTTAAGCTAAAAATAATGAACAATAATAGAAAGAAAATAAGTAAGCGTACGATTATTAACAAAATGAGAATACAATTGTTAATCGAAAAGTTTGTAACAAGAAGAAACCTATAATAGAAATATATAATCGTGGCGTTAATAATTAATTAGAAATATTATCAAATGAAAGAGCAATCGTCTTTAACTGTGATAAAGTTTAAATTAATGGCGAATGCACGGAGACCCGTTTAATTAATTTCCACCTGTCTACCTTCTCTCTTTCTCTCATGTTTCTCTTTTGCGAAAACGACAGGAGATATTGAGCCTGACACGAAACGCAAAGTACATGCGCGCGTCAAGCCAACCATAAAAACGTGTACCGGATCGCGTTGTCGAGGTGCGAGTGTGTTCGTTTCGAGTCAGGAATATGGTCATCGGACATTTTTCGTCTTTGGGATCGCGCATACGAGAAAGGAAAGAAGTTAAAAAAAAAAAAATATGAAGAAAAAATATGAGGAAAAAAACAACAAGGAAAAAGGCAACGGATTGGGAAGGAGGAAAAGGGGTAGGGGTAGGGGTAAGGAGTTAGGGAGGGGGAGTGGAGAGACGAGCTGCTCGTTCGTGAATATAAATGGTCATCGACGATATCGGCTACTATAAATTGCCGCGAAAATCGTGGCTGCTTGTGGTAAAGGGTGAAGTAAAGTAACGAATTAACGGCACAGGGTGTGTCGCAAAGTGCAAAGTACCGCGTTCTTGGTTTGTGTTTCGAAGGCAGCCGCCGCCGACGTCGCCGTATCGGTGTCGGTGCCAATACCAGAACCCCACAAGCCACCACCTTGGCTACGCTTACCATAGCCGCCATCGCACTCTCGGCAACGTCTCGTTCTTTAAATTATTCGAAGAAGGAGTGAATTTATAATGCCGCTTACTCTTTTTACCTACCCCATCCTCCGATATAACCCTTTTATGAACTGCCCTTTTAAGGAAGTAATAAATTTAATATTACACTTGCTTTTTTAACGCTTTATATCTAACTGAGTAATCAACCTGATAGACGACCCTTACGAAGATTGTCAATGAAATTGACCGAATTTATTTGCGATTTCATATATTCACGTATTTAATTCATGTTTCACGGTTCTCTTTTTCGTTTCTTTTTTATTTATTTTGATAAAATTTGAGTAATTAGAAAATTGTTGTTATTATATTTATTATTTATTAAGTATTATTTGAATTTATAAAACCCTTAGAAAGTTCCTATTTTTATTACATAATACTTTAATCAACTCTGGCCCACACATTTTATGATCATTCTTATTAACTCTCGTTATTTTCTTGATTCTACTTTCTATTTGTTTCTTCCGTCTAATGTAACGACAAACTCGTGTGCCAATAGGGTGAATAAACGACGTTGCTCATCGGTCGTATTTTCAAGAAATCATTTGTTCCTCTTTCTTGTCTCTCCGTTCGAATCGCAACGGGATAGGATAACTCTCGAACGATGATAAAAATATGTTAGATTTCTCGTATTCATTCTCGTAGTTGTCGGTTGGAAAACCGATAGCCGCCACACACATATATTGCACACACATACAGAGGAGTTAAATTACTCGAGTACTTTATTACCGTCTTACGGGCAATTTCTTGCGAATTCAACCTATTTCTTTGACACACGATCATTTTATTTTCCCATAAATGCTAAGGAATCTGTTACACTCGATATTACATACAAACTACTTCCGACGGATACCGTTTTCTCTTGGTCTCCTTTCAATATTATTAAAAAATGAATAATCTTTTAAATTATTTGAAAATCTTACTCACCTCCGTATTGGCGAAAATCAAAGAACCACGCGACTTGGCATAACCTCGAGTAATCTGAAAAAGATGAACGATCGTGTAATGTAAACGATTATTATATCGTATAATTAATTAACAATTACTTATGTATAACTGCCTCGCTTTTAATTTGTAATTATTTATTACAAAAATCTTTATCGATTGATCAATAACTTATTATTTAATATCATTTAACTCTTCTCATTTCATATGAAGTAATATCATGTTATTCTCTCTTTCTCTCTTGCGCAATATTGTTAATTAAGTATCACGCAATCTTACAATCATCGACGTATATTCTCATGTTTAATGGCAATAATATTAATTAATAAAGGTCCGAAATAAAATCAAACGATTATAGTAGATATCCGACAGATTGGAATGTCATGTAATCGTAAATCGTATCTCCTAAAATTTTCAAGGTAAAAGAAGGAAAAAAAGGGAAAATCCTAGGACTACGTAAAAAAAAAGAAAAAAAAAGAGAGAAGGATTGAAGGATTGAAGAGAAGAAAAGAATTTAGGAACTAGTGAAAGCGCGTTTACGGACAGGTTCTAGCTGATGCGCTGCTTGACTTTTAGCTAAAAGGGTTGGAGTGAAAGTTTTTTATTTACAGCGCTTAAAAGAAACAAAAAAGGGGTTACGTCGCGTCAAAGGGTTTTTATCGTCTTCGAGACAACTTTTCTTCTCTTTTTCTTTTTCTCTCCCATCAATACGGCTTTTTTTTTCTTTACGAGTTAGATGCGAAATTTTCTTCGACGTTTACCTATTGTACATGAAAAAAAGAAAAAAAGAAAAGAAAGTTTTCCAAGACTTTCGATTTGTAAAAGCTCATTCTTTAGTTTACGATAAATTCAATCCTTTCGTTGGAACGATCTTGAAACGTTTCTATTCAAGTAATAATAGAAGAAAACAACATGGCTGATATTAACGCGGAACAACGTTCTGTAGTATTCCCTCGGAGTATCATTATGATCGTTAAACTAATTAACGTTAGTAAAGTACGTGAATTATATCTACCTAAGGTAAAATGCTACTTACTTGCCTCTCTGTGTTTTTCGCTACGAGTTACCGTAATAGTTCAGCAATCATTGAGTCTTTTTTTTTTTTTTTTTTTTTTTTTTCTTTTCATTTCTTTCCCCTTATTCCTAGAGATAATTATTGAAAATGAAACAAAATTTATTATAGACGTAATAATTATTTGCAAAGATTTATTTTGACTAGAGAAAACAAAGGTAAATTGGTCAATAAAAAATAAACTTTGTTAAATAATTAATCAATGACGCAAATATATATATTGATTGAACGAGAAATATACATACATACGGAGAACAAAATTAATAAATAAAATAAAGAAACAAAAATGATTCAAAATTGAAGGCTGGAAATTCGGATGAGGAATCAACATAAAAAATAAAATAAAATAAAATAAAAGTAAAAAAGAAATAGAGAGAGAGAGAGAGAGAGAGAAAGAGAGAAAATCGCGTGCAAGTTGGAAGCAACTTGTCGGTGACAGAAAATTTATACGGGCGCGTTATATGGCGCAGTTAAAATAAATTAAACGCGTTTTATCGTTACCCTCTATAATTTATTTATGCCCCGGCCTATTATATGTCGCGGAAAACGCAAGAGGCGCACGTTTCTCTCTCTTAATCTTCCATATTCGTTTCTCGTCGAATCGCCGTCGCTACTTTTCCTCACCTGCGTAATCGCGACTAAACTTCCGTCACTTCGCAAATAACGGTTTGATATTTTTATTTTTTTATTTTTTTTTTTAATACGGACAACTTAATAGTTTTAATAACAAAGAGAAAAAGAAAATCCGTATAAACTGTTCGCATGTTGATGAAATATAATAATAATACTATAATTTAACTACTTAAAACGAGTATTTGCAATTAAAAGTGCACTATTTACTCACTTTAATTTGTAATATTTTTTTCAATTATTATTGATATCATTTCAATATGAATTATAATTAATCGTTGATATAATGCGATAACGTAATTGGTTACAGTGTAAGTAGCTTGAGTAAATGGTAATAAATATCGATTTGATATGTATTTTTCTAACATATTTAACATGAATATTACTTCTTATGAAAGAGACTTGTAGATAGAAATCGAGATTGTTAGGCGAAAGGTTCACAAAGCACGGCATCTGCGGAACATCCGACAAAGCCTACTTCAATTAAGGAGTAACGCGTCAATCAGAGGCAATTGCTGAAAGGTCATAGACCACTTAACTTTTTAAACGTGATCGTTAACGATACGAGGACATATGATATCGTTATTGGCGTGTCTCCGGCCTTGTCTTATAATGTCAATGACACATAGAAAAATAAACTGTTTTTTTTTCCTTTTAAAACACAATGACTAATAAACTTATGTTTATTATCGTTCCTTTAAAAGAATATTTTGATACATATTTGTGCGAAAGATAGACCACAGAATGCTATTTTATCGATTAGAAAATCGATAGGGAACAAAAATGATTAAAAATAAGATTAAATGTCTCGGAAATATATTTTTCTTGGCGTTATCACATAACGAGTATTAAACGTTGAGTGTTGTGAAGTTGTAAGGTAAACGCAAATCTCATAATTATGATCCTTTTCGATAGAATTTAACGATTAGACAGGAAATATATATAGTAGATATAATCTTTCTTTTTTATATCTTTCGAAAGGGTTTTTAAGACGCTTGGAAAAATAAGAATTTAACGAAAGGAAAAGTTATCGCGATATTATCTCGCAACGATTCCTCTCCGCGAAATATCGCAACTGAGGTAACTAAATGCAGCACATGTAACGTCCAACGATGGAGTACGGTGAACAGCTATTTCCTAGACCTAGATAACTTACGGCACAGGGGAAACCCTGCGGATTTATCGTCGACTCTCACGCATTGTTTACGTCCTCGGCCGAGGGACGTAAATCCTCCTTCTAAAGTGCCAGAAACCGTCTAACTTCTCGCTTACCACGTCGTACAATCGTATTCTTATTCGTGGATCTTACCTTCACCTCCTACACGACATCCTATTTTTTTGTATTATATATTTTAATATTACAATTGTTTCGAAATAATCTATCTATCTATCTATTATTTTTCGATATTTATATACAAGATCGTAAATGCATTAGAATATTTTCGAACGGTTAAGATTGGAACGAAGATTTTCACGACGGGTTAAGATCCCACATAATATGACTACTGGAATAATATAATGTGTTATTGGAAAATAAATACAAGTTTTGTATTAATTGATAAGTATGCTTACAAAAAGAATAGATTAAAAACTAAAATATATATTGTAGATAAACGAAAGCGTCTAGTTGAAAATAGTTTCGCGTTCGCGTGGTTAAACAATTTTTTGATGGAAATAAAGAAAAAAAGTGATTGGACTATGTATAGAAAAAGACTTTGATCGTTGGCCGATCGACAGAATATGGAAGCGAATCCGAAGCTCGTAAAACCTTCGGACAAAGTTGTGGAAATCTCGAAGGAAATCCTGATTCGTGAATTGGAATCGGTGGCGCTCGCACGAACGCGGAATAGGAAATGCCTAAGGGCACTCGTTGACTACGGCCTTAATCGAAAATCGATGCCTATTCTCTTCTCCTTTTCTTTGTCTTTCGTTTCTTTTTCTTAGCTTTTTCATCGCACGTATCTCTTGGCATCGTTCGATCTTCCACCAAGCTCTGAATTTTTGATGAACTATCCCAATACCAACTCTCCTCTGTCTGCCTACTCCTTTTCCTCTTCAACAACTTTTCATTTCTTCTACCGTTTATTTTTTTCTTTCTTTTTTCTTCAATCTTTATCATTCTCAAATTTTGTCTAAATAAATGTTCTTAAGAATAAATCGAAATTCGTTAAAACTCGTTGAAAATATTTTTCTTACACGGAATAATATATGAAAAAATTAGTTGAGGCATAAAAACCGATTATGTTAAAAATAAATGTTGAAGGACAAAGGAAAAACATAATTTATTACGTAGAAATGAAATTTCTTATCAGGATTTTAGTCGTGCGTATTTGCATATTGCGTATATTGTTTTGAAAAGAAATTTGAAAATCCATTGAGTTCCGAGCAGTGTAGACTGCTGATTTATGCGAACAATATTACCCCCTCATTTCCTCTCGTTCGTTTCTCAATCGGGTTCGAAAAGAAACTCACGAAAGAATATCAAACGGTATTTCGGTATTTCGATTCTGCTTTCGATGAAAATTTCTTCTTGCAAATTCGGTAGCTAACTCGTAACAATTCTCGATCAAATAGATCGAATAGATACTAATATATATTTTTCATCCTGAATTTTGCAGAGAAGAAGGAGATTTCCGTTTCTAAAGAAGGTAAACAAAAATATAAGGAAATTATATAGAAAAAGAATAAGATGACTAGAACAAAATTGATAAAGAAGGAAAACATTGACGTTGTCATTGGACGTGTTTGGTCAGAAGAAGCAAACAACGATGGAATTCGAATCCCATTGAGTTTTGAATCGAGTTGTGACAGGAAACAAAAGGGGACACGGGGCGGTAAAGATGATCAGTGTGTAAAGAGAAAAGAAGGGAAGAAAAAGGAGAGGGGCGAAAAACAGGAATCCCTTTGGTCTCGACATTTCTTAGAATAATCCGCCGTATAAATTGGATCGTTGAAGGAACGTGGAAACTGAACGTTCTTGGAGGAGAGACTGTATGAAAAGGAGAGAGAAACTTAGACGATCGCGCGAATCATCTCCCACACGCGTTTCTGATGAGATCCTGCATACAGGATACAGCGAGTCTCTTCTTGTAAATATATGCAGGATATATGGATAAATATAAGCACGGAACGTGTCTCGAACGTGAAATTTTGTATATTTCATTATTTTCTTTTCTTTTTCCAAAAAAAAAAAGAAAAGAAAAGAAAAGAAAAAAACAACGTTTGACTTGAATGAATAATATTTTTTCCAATCGTTCGACAAAAAAATTTATGCCAGCTTGTTACTTTTTCTTTATCTCTTT